GTCGACATTCCTTTCCAGGCTCAACACAGTGGGTAAAGCTTTTGTCTGCTAACCACAAGGTCAGTGGTTCAAACCAACCAGCTGCTCTGTGGAAGATGAGGCAATCTACTTTCATAAAGATTTACAGCTTTGGAAACCAAATGGGGGTCACTCTAAGTCAAAATGGGAGCTCTGGTAGCATAGAGTCTAAGGCACTTGACTACTAACCAGAAGGCTGGCGTTTCAAACCCACCAGCCACTACTCGGAAGGCAGATTGGGCAATCTATTTCCGTAGAGATAGCGCCTCAGAAACCCACAGAGGAGTTGCTATGAGTCGGAACTGGCTCAATGTCAGTGAGTTGAGTTTTGAAAGCTTACATTGTTTACTCTCTTAAACATTTGCCCTATGAAACCAGGCATCAGCCATGTTCTCCAGGCTTGAAATAAGTGTCTCCATTTTGTTTTCAGTTTCCACAATACCATTGTAGAGACACCTTCAGCCCATGTGTGTATCATTTTTTTAATTGGCACAACTGGGGAGGGGATGCTCTTGGCATCTGGTGGAGAGAGGGCAGGGGTGATGCTAAACCTCCTCCAATGTACAGGACAGCCCCTACTACAGAGAATCGGCCAACACAAAATGTCAAGAGTTCCTAGGTTGAGAAACCCTGGTTTATCTTTACAATAAATTCCTAGAAATGTAATGGCTGTTCTAAAGAGTGTTTTTCTTTTTCTTTTTCTTTTTTTTAAATTGTAGTTTGAGTGAAAGTTTACAGAGCAAATTCATTTTCCATACAGCAGTTCATACACATTTTGTTTCATGACATTGACTGCAGTCCCCACAATGGAACATCTCTCCCCACTTCCTCCTTGTAGTTACCTCTTCCCTGTGTCCTTTTCTGTGCACTCCTGCCCCTCCCCCCAGCTATCTTCCTGTGCAAATACTGCCCTTTTGATCACTCTAAGGAGCAGATCTACCTGGTGTCCATGTTCACCCCGTTTGCCTTTCTGTTGTTTGGCTGGGAGCCACAGGAGTGAGGTCAGTTTCAGGCCTGAAGAGTAACTAGGGGCCATAGACTGCGGGGGGTCTCACCAGGCTCTATCAGACCAGGAAACCTGGTCTTTCTTTGTGATTCTGAGTTTTGGTCCACATTGTTCTCCTACTCTGTCCAGGGTCTCCTGCACTGATCTAAAAGGTGTATGTTTTTGAATGTTATAGATGTTGCCATATTGCCTAGGAATAATAAAAATAATAAACATCGGGCGTGACACAGGACAGTGCCTCGGCAAGCCGCGTGAGATGTTGGCTGTGGGGTCGCTATGAGCCGGAGATGACTTGACAGCACCTAACAACAACAACAAAGGTCATTTACTGAAGGCTCACTACGCAGTCACTCTTGTAACTTGGGTGTCTCCCCAGCTCCCGAGATTTTAGGGATCACCCTTTGTCTTAGTTATCTAGGGTGCACTGCTAAAAGAACTAACAGATCTGTCCTGGAGGAAGTGCAGCCAGAATGCTCCTTGGACGCAAGAATGGCCAGATTTCGTCACTATGGAAGTAGATTGTCCCATCTTCCTTCCGAGGAGTGGCTGGTGGGTTTGAACCGCCAGCCTTCTGGTTAGCAGTCAAGTGCCTTAGGCACTACATCACCAGAGCTCCCCTTTTGGGAGACAGAAGGGATGAAACAAGGAAAATAAAATGAGGAAGCTAGATGCCAAGCCACGTGCAGATCGCCCAGGACAAGCTCAGAAGAGCAAGAGCCTTCCTCCAGAGTCAACAGAGACAGAAGCCTTCCCCTAGTGATGCACCCTGAATTCAGACTTCTGGCCTCCTAAACTGGGACCGTTGAAGCAGCTTTGCTAGACTCCAATGTTAGAGCCACGCTGTGCTGCTCAAAAAAAAAACTCACTGCCGTTGAGTCAGATCCAACTCATAGAGACCCCTCCTTGGGTTTCCTAGGTGGTATCACTACGGAAGTAGAATACCCCATCTTCCTTCCAAGGAGTGTCTGGTGGTTCACCAGCCTTCTGGCTAGCAGTCAAATGCCTTAGGTGCTATGCCACCAGAGGAAAGAGGAAGGAGGGAGGCAGTTGGACCCAGAGTTCAGAGAAGATATCCAGGCAGTGGGTAACCAAAGATGGGGAGATTTTAAGCATTGATCCCGTGGCCCTAGTGCTTATGCCAGGAGTGAGGGGGTTGGGATGCATGGGAGTTTGGCATCTCAGAATGTGACGGGCCACTTGAGTCTGGTCTGGGGCAGGTGTTCAAGACTCCCAAGGGCCTTGGGTCTCACACTATTACTTACAAAAGAACTATACTTTTATTTGAGAAAAGCTCAAAGAAGCCATTTACCAAATGCCTTTATGAAAAGCAGTGTAAACTTTTAATAGCTACCTGGTGCACAGGTGTGCACAGGTATGTGGCCACAGATTTGGGGAACTCGGCAGGCCCCCAGTCCACCAGGGCTCAGTATTCCTCCTCCGAGTCTTCCTGGACCCGCCTGCGGGATTTTGAGGGCCCAGGGAGGACTGGGGATCTGGCCGGGGCCTCGGCCAGGTTCACCCAGCCGGGCCCTCGGGGCAGCAAGTGGCTCTCGTTGAGTCTGAAGACGCGATAGTTCTCATAGTGCACGTTGTGGGTGATGTCCTTCAGGTCTTGCATGTGGGAGCTGAGAGGCGAGGGGCAGGTCAGCCACAGCCGGGTGTCCCCGGGAGTCCCCCCTCGCCCCCAGGGCTGCCCACACCCTCACCGGATCAGCAGATCTCTCAGGAGTGGAAACTCACAGTGCTTAATGTTCTCCACTGGAAGACACGGGTCACCGAGCACTGGCGGTGCGCTGCCCCCACAGCCCTGCCCCCACAACCTCCCTCCCGTTTGTTCATTCATCCATTCACTCACTGTCACATCCCCAGTGCCTGGCGCGGGTGGTCCCTACAGACAGCAGCTGAACCCACGATTCCACCACTCCGTATAAGGCCCCGGAGGGGACTTCCCTGGCTCCTTAAGGTGTCCCATCCCCCTGTTATGTATTGAATTGTGTCCCCTCAAAAATTTGTTGTAAATCCTGATCCTTGTACCCACACCCTGGTGGCGCACTGGTTAAGCACTCATCTGCCAACCAAAACATGGATGGTTTGAACCCACCTGCCACTCTGCGGGAGATAAAAGTGGCAGTCCATTTCCCTAAAGATGACAGCTTTGGAAACCCCATGGGGCAGTTCTGCCCTGTCCTATAGAGTCACTAGGAGTGGAAACCAACTGGACAGTTTATGGGTTTATCTGTGTTTACAATCCCACTTGAGGATGGGTGTCTTTGTTATGTTAATCAGGCTGTGTTAGTGTAGGGTGTGTCTCCAGTTCATCTCTTTTGAGATACAGAAGAACCCATCATTAAGCCAGCAAGCCAGCAGAGATGGGGAAAAAGATGAT